CTTTGTTTCTTCTGTCTCCTCCATTTTCTTTCCTGTTGCTATCATTAATGAGGGTGGTGCTATTCTACTTTGAGAGTGTTCTATCACCACCATCACAAAGACCTTTGTAGTGTCTTGAGCCACAGAGTCAACCCTTTCTTGCCTTTGTTGTTTTTGAAATCTGCTTCCCTAAAGTACAGGAAAGGGAAATGAGAAAAATATAGGCTAAACCCTATATTCTGCTATTGCAAAGTCCTTAAATTCTTACAAGCTTCTAGTGACTTTGATTTCATTATCAATGTAAAAATGAAGTCTAGGAGAGTAGCTTGCTTTTTTTTCTTTCCTGTGGCTTCTGAAAAATAAAATTACCAATAAAGTCTGTTAGGAATATATCAGATGCTGTTTATTTTTGTAAGTTTTAAATTATGAGACAACTGTGGAGGGTAGATATGACAGTCATTTAATCAGGGGGAGCCCTGTAATACTTCTAAACATCCTACAGTGCACAAGACAGCCCCCACAAAGAATTACCCAGCCCAAAGTGTCAATAGCGCTGCAGTGGAGAAAGCCTGTCTGGACAAATAAAATGGCACACTGTAGTATGGGGTATAGACATCAGTATTTTGGAGCTTCCCAGGTGATTCCTATGTATACGTAAGTCAGGGAACCTAGGCATTCATTTTGCAATCTCATATGTGTAAAATTTCGACTCATTATTGTTTTTTGTATGTTTCCCTGATGTGAGATGTTTAGCTTCTTTTCATATATTTCATTCAGATTTTACATCTGTGAGTTGCCTTTTTATGTATTTCATTCACATTTGACATCTGTGAGTTGCCTACTCATATACTCTGCACATTTTTCTGTTGAATCTTTTCTTCTTATTTATAAAATGTCTCTGTCTATAATTTTTTATATGTGTGTGTAATAGAGGGATCTGAACCCTTGAACTTGGTTTTACCAACACCATACTCTAACCAACTGAGTTAACAAGGCAGCCCCAATATTCTTGATACTAATCTTCTATATGGGCAGTCAATGTAGTCAATTGTATACATTTTTACCAAATACTTTGTGTGTATGTGTGTGTGTGTGTGTGTATTATTTAAGAAAACCTTCCTTACCCTGATGTTGCAGTCTTGTGTATTTTAAAAGAGTATCATAAGGGAGGTAGTTTTATTCTTCTGCATAATTTCAGGTATAGAACTCATTTTATCTCTTCCTTTATGGATAACTAATTGCTCTAGCACCAGCTATTCAAAAGTCTTGTTCTTTCTCCACATGTTGATGGTATACTGACCATACGTCAAGCTGTCATATATTGCTAAGTCCATTTCTAGGCAGTTTAATCCACTGGCCTCTTTGTATATCTTGACACTAATACACACTTATATGAATAAAGATAGCTTTATAGAAAGTCTGATCTGATAATAAAAATCCTCTCATTTTTACCTCTTAAACTGGCTCGTCTGTTGGCACTTTGTGTTTCCAAGTGAGTTAAGGTTAGCTAATCAATCTTCATAGAAAACTTCAGCGGACACTGCAGTGGTTCCCATAATCAATTTTTCTTTCCTCCTGGGTACACAACTGGACCAAATCTCCCAGCTGTATAGCTGGTATTAGCCACTGTTATGTGAGCAGTAATACTGCATACCACTTCCAGGCTGGCCTATAAAATCCTCCATGAGTGATACTCCTAATTCCTTTTCCTTTTGGATAGATGCAGATAAGCTCAGAGATCTTGCTACCCACATGTTGAGGACATGTATCTATAAGATGGAAGGATCCTGAGTCACTGTTAAGAGGAACACTCATTTTGGACATAACGTGAGTAAGAAATAGACTTATATTGTGTTAAGTCACTGCTGTTTAACCTTTTATCATGGCAATTAATGGTCCCCAAATGAACACAAAAGTTTTGTGGGGTTTTAGTAGGAATTGCAGTAGATGGAGGAAAATTGCTAAAGTTACAACGGCAAGTCCTCTCATCTGTGAATAATAGTCTTCCTCTCTATTGATTATTTTGTCCTTCATGACTTTAAATAAGATTCTTTTATCCCCATGAAAGTCCTGTACATCACTTTTTAGATTTATTCCTTGGACAGTTACTCATTGTCATATCATTGCAGATGGCATATTTTTTTTAAACAGTTTTTTTTTTTCCTTTTTGTCTTTTTTACTGACCGGTAACAGGATTGCAACCCTCAGTGTTGCGCCAGCACTGTGCTCAGCCAGTGAGCAGAACCGGTCTCCACATGGGATCCGAACCCTCGGCGGGAGCGCCGCCGTGGTCCCAAGCGGCGCACTCTCCATTGCGCCACCGGGCCGGCCCAAACAGTTTTTTTAAAGTTGTCACTGTTGTATAGGAATGTGTAAGGTTTTTATTTTAAACATCTTTATTGAGGCATAGTTTACATACTATAAAATTCATTCATTTAGAACATATGGTTTAGAGAGTTTTAGTAAATTATATAATTGTGGGACTAGGACTGCATTTCCAGTTCTAGAATATGCCTATCATCCCCGTTTCTTGGTGCCCATTTACGGTCATTCCCCACTCCCACTCCTATCACCAGGCAATCAGTGCTCTGTTTCTGTCTCTGTAGTGCTGCCTTTTCTAGAAAATTTTTACAAATGGAATTATGACTATATAGCCTTCTATGCATTTTCTTCAGAAACAATCATGTTGCCTTTGAGAAATTATTGTCTGTCTTCTTTTTAGTTCTTCCAACTTTAATTTCTTTTCATTCTCTTTGTTTAGTGGTTACTCTTAAGTTTTTAACATATATACTCGAAATCTAAAGGTAATAAATGACCCACAATAAACAAAGACATTAAAAAGCTTTAGCCCTAATTATCCCTCTGCTACTTTACATGTTATATGTGAACTCATAATATAGACATTAAAAATTATGATTAGTGCTGGCTTAGATTCACCCACCTGCATGTTAATTTTCTTGTTCATCCTTGCTTCTAGATCCAACTCCATTCTGGGTTCAATTATTTTCTTTCCCAAGTGTCTCTTTTATATAAGTTCTTGGTCTGAAACTGTCTTTATTCTTGAGTGACCAGTTAGTAGATATAGAAATTACTGATTGATCATTAGTTTCAGAACTTTGGAGATATTATTTTACTGTTTTTGCTTTTGGTTGAGAAGCCTGGAGTCTGTTAGTCAAGTTGTAGATCCTTAATCTTTAATTTCTGTTTTTTCTCATTTCCTTAAAGAATTTTTCTTCGTATCTGAGGTTCCTGCATTGTCATATGACATGCCTTGGTGTGAATGCATTTTTAGTTAGTGATGGAGTTTGGATGTGTTGTTCCCTCCAAAACTCATGTGGAAATTTGATCTCCAATGTGGCAATGTTGGAAACTGTTTGAGTCATGGGGGTGGATCCCTCATGAATGGATTAATGTTCTCCCTGGGGGAGGGGAGATTAATGAGTGAGTTCTCACTCTATTCGTTCCCACGAGAGCTCATTGCTTGAAAAGATGCTGGCACCTTCTCTCTCTCTCTTGCTTCCTCTCATCATGTGATCTGCTTGGACCTGCTGGCTGCTGCCACTTTCTGCCATGAGTAGAAGCAGCCTGAGGCCTGTGCCAGATGCAGCTGTCCCAGAATCGTAAGCCAAATAAACCTCCTTCTTTTATAAATTACCCAGTCTCAGGTATTTCTGGTATAGCAACACAAAACGGGCTAAAACAGCCTACTCTGGACTCAATTTTCTTTCTCAATCCAAGGTTTCATATCTTGCACTAATCCTGGAAAAATTTCAACCACACTTCAACTATTGCCTTTCACAATCTATTTTCATATATTGGGCCTTCTCCCTGTATCTTCCATGCCTCTAAAATGATATATCGTGTTTTCAATTCTTTATCTTTCATGCTTTATTTCACGTAATTTTTTCAGACTTATCATCCAAGTTTTCCGGTTCTCTCATCATCTATATCTATCCAGCTAACCCTATCATACAGTTTTATACTCCAGGGATTACATTTTTCATTGACATTGCCAAAAGTCCCCTGGGAGAAGAAGCAAAATCACGTCTGATAGGGTCCTGAGTTGAAGATAGTCATTGGCTCAGGCATATGAATGCTGTGCTAAATTAAGCCTGTTCAGTTTTATTTGATAAGTTTTTCTCACAGTCCTTTCAACACATCATAACACACATCATCCTGGGTCATTGACAACATCTAGCCCAGTGGTTCTCAGTGAGGGGCAATTTTGGAAAAAAGACATTTGGAAAAGTCTAGACATTTTTGGTTGTTACAACTGAGAGGAGAGAAGAGTGCTACTGTCATCCAGTGGGTAGAGGCCAGGGATGCTGCTAAGCATACTACAATTCCCTGTATAGCTTCCTTACTGCCAAAAGAACCCAGCCCCAAATGTCAATAGTGCTGAGGTTAAGAAATCATGCTCTAACTTAACCAACTATAATGCCTTAAAGATCTCTAAGCTCTATATATGATTATGATATTCTCCTATGTATACATGTGAGCTTATTCTTTTTTTTTTTTTTTTTGAGTTTTTGTGACCAGTAAGGGGATCGCAACCCTTGGCTTGGTGTCGCCCGCACCATGCTCACTGGTGCGCTGGCCATCCCTATATAGGATCCGAACCCGTGGCGGGAGCGCTCCCACGCTCCCAGCGCTGCACTCTCCCGAGTGCACCACGGGCTCAGCCCCATGTGAGCTTATTCTAAACTTTCATTCATCTTGGAGTTGGTTGTGTTTCTTGATACATACCTGCATTATACCAGTACTTTCTCTGTCTCTGATTTTTGACAGTGTGTGTATAGAAGATATTTGCCTACAGATTTCTGGAAGTAAAAAGCTTCAAAGAAAGGGGTTTACAGATTGGAGCAGAAGAGGAGAAGACGAGAATAAACTTTAGACACTCCCTGAGAAGCCAGATAAATATATTTTATTTTAAGTGAGTAGATGACTACAACATTATGTGTATGTAGGAATTTCTTCAGGAAAGCTATTGGTAGCATTTCCAAAAAGTAAGGGCCCTCAATTCAGACGTTTTCCTCTGAACATTTGGCCACAGCCATGGGTTTCACTTGATTCAGCTGTTTTGTTAAACGTGCCTCACAGCAGAACAAGCTGGCACTTACTAGTGAGAGGGTGGCAGTTATGATTCCTAGTGGAAACACATAGCTGAAGTGTTTCTTTGTTAGGCTTTCTTTTTCAACAGGAAAGCTAAGTGGAAAGTCAAGAGTGGTTTCGCCATAAAAATCCACGGCGAAATTCCAGGTCACTGTACCAGCTGTACAAACACAGCTAAGGAAAAGAAAGAAGGCAGAGATGTTGTAATAGGACTGGATAAAATCTGGGTATGGGGCCTTGATCCAGCTGATCCAAAAGGCTGTTGCGCTGAAAATCAGGACTGATGACTTCATAAAATTAGCCAACAATATCAGGCCCCGCCCATACTTAATTTCACTCGAAATGGCCCAGGTTTTGTTGATAGTGCTGTGCATTGGAAAATCAACTATTGAAGCAGAGATGTTAAAATTTTGAAAATAAAAAGCTTCCCAAAGTCCAGTGAATACGACGTGAACAACCTTGCTGTCAAATTCCCATACGCACCAGGATCTGCTGTTAGCTAGGGTTATACCAAAAACCCATGACATGTAACTAAAAAGGAGGCCTATCAGTTTGAAGAGCAGCTGCTTCATTTCAGAGAGACTGAAGATGAGGTAGGATCATCATGAAGTCAAGCCAGGAACACCAAGGAGGAGAAAAAAAAAATGGTATCAGCCATGGTTTAGAGAGAGCCAAATATTTATGTCAACCTTTTTGCCTGAAAGTATTAAGTATTCTGTACACATACTGGCCTTCAATTCATGTTCTAAATATTTTAGATAAGAATAAAATAATCCATGACCATGGTGGTAATATCAATTTGTAAGGCATTTTTTGGAGCACAATTTGCCAATATCTTTCAAAAGTTGAAATACTGTATGTTTTTAATGAAAGGCATGCATAGTTTTATAATGAAAAATGGAATGAACATGACCTCAGAGATCTACATGTTAAGCACAACAAACCACATCTACTTACATTTCTTATCCATCACTTGTTCACAATTTCACTTGTAGATATTAGCTTCTTTGGTGTACAACTTTTTTTTTTTTTTTACTGCTGGTTATAGGCATCCGAACCCCTGACCTTTATCAACACCATGCTCTAACCAACTGAGCCTACTGGCCAGCCTGCAACTTTAAAATGTCCTGATGTATTTTACCTAAAGCATATCTTCTTTGAAGCAAAATTTACATCATGAGCCAACTTATTTGGATCTCTTGTCAATTCAATTCAAATGTTTGGAGTAAGTGGCAAGGACAATCAGAAGATTATACCCCTAGGGCATCCTCTGGTGGTTCTGCAGAAAGGAGTGAGGTGGGATCTGCTCAGTCACCAGGTGTGTGGATAATGTAGGCAGCTGCCCATGAGGAGGACTTCAGCAGTCTCTTAACTATATCTTCTTGCTGGGAAACCTGATATTTCTAACACTGTATTCCACTGTCCCCTGGTCTCCTTTCTAATTGCATGAAGGCAGAAGTTTTACCTCTCAGGAAGTCACGCTAGCACAGTGGGTTTGGGGTTGACTGCAGGGTGACTAACTCACTATCCATGAATACTTCCTTGCCAGTGGAGGTCTGAGGGAGTGGCCACATGAGCTTTGATGGAAGTATCAGGATGGGGATCTTGCAGTCAGCAGCAAAATGTGCCAGCTCAGGGATGTTGTGGCGCTGTCCATGCAGAAACCAGTGGGATGGGTACAGATAAGTTTTTCCTGAAGACCAAATTTGAAAGACTCATATACCTTATTTACAATTTTTACCCATAAGCCTTGAACAAGAATTCACGCATTCAGAAGATTGGTAAATAGTCTTCATAGCAGTAGGAAATTTTGAACCAAAAGGGTAAATGTCCACAGAGAAAGAAATGAGCCCTCTGCAGTGAAAGAGGGACTGCTAGGGAGAGTTTGGGCTCTGAACACAGGCCAACAAATCCCTGGCTCTCACAACAT